ATTATAAAATAAATAGTAAAACAAATATCTAAAAATTATTTTGTTACAAAAATAGTTATGATTAAAATTATCATATAGTTTATTTTTAGTTTCTAATAATATATATGTGTATTATAATTATTTGTGTAAGAGAATATTATATATATTTAATTTTGCATAATAAGTCAGTAAGTTCATTGTAACTCAACTGGTAAAGTTGCATGCGTGCACAAACAAGGTCTTTGGTTCGAGTTGTGGAGAAGTCACTTTGAGGAAGAATTATATGATGGCAACATGTGGCAATACAAGGTGGCATGTGAGATAGCGACACTTGGTAGCAGAGTTGAGGTGGCAGCAACACGTCGCGGCAAAAGTGAGGTGACAGCAACACGTGGAAATGAGGTGGTGATATGTGGCGGCGAAGGTGAGATGGCCTTTTAATTTTTTTGAAAAAATATATTAGCAACAAAATTGAAATTTTATCAGTAATTACCAACGGAATTCTGATTCTGTCACTAATTTTGCCGGTAATCCAATCAGTGAAAGAAAAATTAGTGATAAAACCAATTCCATCGCTAATCACATGTTTTTTGGTAGTAAAATTCATAACAAAATAGATGATGATGAAATTAATTAATTAATTAATTAAACTACAATAATACTAATATATAGGTTAAAGTATATATTTGGTCTTTTAAGTTTACATCAAGTTTTGGATTAGTCTCCTGAGTTTAAAAGTTTAAATTAAGAACCTTAATATTTCATATCAACTCCACCACCATCAGAATTACCATTTAAGTTAATGGTTTTTGTTATGTCAAAAATTTTATATTTTATTATATGCTGAATCATTTAAAAAAGAATAATACTTTATATCTATTATGTCAAGTTTTCTAATCACACATGATCATATGCCTTTTTTTTTATTTTGAAATATTAGTATTTAATAGCATTTAATTATAAATTCACATGAAATAAAAAATGATACAAGATCATGCGTGATTTGGAGAACTTAACATAATGGATATAAGTAACTTAACCTAAGTTTTTTCCTTTAAAAATAACTTATGATGTTTAACCTTAAATATTTTTATTTTTATTTAAAAAGAATGTGACCAAATAAATATTTTAATTACCTTTATAAGTAATTGTATATTTTTAAATATTTAAGTATTTTATATTGACTATTTAAAAATATTTAAAATGACATGTCAAATATCAAGTGTTGTTTTTTTTAAAAAAATAAAAAAAATGGTATACAATAAAAATTGTAAAACTTTTGACATGACAAAATCGTTTAACTATAACAGCAATTTTGATGATAAAGAAGTTGATTGTCAAAACATAAAATATTAGGATTCTTCATTTAATTTTTTATAATTTATGTAAGCGATATCCAACAAACTCAGTTTAATGAATTGTGAATCTTCAAACTCAAACTTTAAAAATAAAACCCTCTTTACAAAGCTGACAAACTATCAAAAGTTTAGATGATTTCTTTTGAGTTGCGCTCAATTAGACATTTTAAGGAATCAATCTTTTAAAATTGTAATCAACAATCAATTTCAAAACCTGTCGAGTTGTGGTCATCTTTAGTCAAAATCTGTTGATATTATTCCCACCAGCATAACCAAATTAGCGCATAATTGATCCATATTGACGGCTGATTCCTTTTTGGAAGGTTTTTTTAGGATTACGGTGCAAATTTACTCTGAGGATTTTCACTAAGGAGTGTTGGACACCTGAAAGTTTTTTAAATGTAAATTTACCTTAAAATTATAACAATATTACTTTCTACAATAAAAATGTTAATGGTTAATATTACTATTTTAACGATCAATGTTAGTTTTTTAGCGATAGGAGATAATACTGTTACAATTTTAAATTTTCAAAGCAACTTTGTATCCAAAAAAATTTTTTGGATGCCTAATGCATCTGAATTAAAAAGCTCAAGGCAAATTCACACCTTAACATTTTTTTTAAATAATACATTTGGAGAATTTATTTTTCATTCTTTTGACTAATTAATATTTTTTGTAATAAAAATTTTTTTTACTTAATGTAAAGACTTCGTAAAAATAATAATCAATGTGGTTTTTTTTTTGCAGTCAAATTTGTTGAGCTATTTATTTACATCACGCAAAGAAAGAATTTAATTAAAATATATTAATATTAATTTTTTCTAGAAAATTAAATATTTCAGGAGGAAATTCTTGAATATTTAAAAACTTTTGTACTCAGGCTTGAATATTTAGTCTTCAAAGAAAGAATTATACAATCAATATTTACATAGGCAAATCACAGGCAAAAACAGGGCAAATAAACCAAGGGGTCCATTCTGCAGAATAACAAAAACAATGGTACAGTCTTTTTCTTTTTATAAAATGTCATAGTTCATTAAAAAGTAAAATGATTACACTTATTAAAGCCCATCTCTCACAAAGAGAAGGACTTGGATGGAGAACATGAATAACATAAACCTGAAAACAACAATAGAGAAACATCGGAGCATACAAACAGAAGTACAAAAAGATTAAAACTAGTAGATGAACACAAAAACACCAAGACAACAGGGATCTAAAAAAGCCTGAGTGTGATTGAAGGTCCAAGGTTTAGCCAGCTAGTGAAAGAGAGCCCAAAGCAATTGTCTCATTCTGCACCAACTACTCTAACTCCATGAGTGATCACCCAAAAAGCCCCAACATTTTTGGGGGAGACTCAACGAACAATCTCGTAAAGTTTCTGTTAAGAGTTAACGTCACCACGAGCCATGAAAAGAATCCATAAACTCAGGACGCCTACACCATTAGAGGTGTTAAAAGAGAGGCTGCTGCTGATGCTATACCCCAGCGACAGTGAAGAGGAGCCAAGTTTGAGATGATCATGAAGCCACAATAATATTGGTGAGAGAAGCTGGCTAGAGACATACCTGCTACTAAAAACAAAAGACAAACCATACCCGAAACATACGAAATAAACACAACAAAGAAGTAGGATGACAAGTAGCCTAAAAAGAACTACCCCAGTCATAGCCCAACCCATTCTATGACTGGTAGGAATCCGATGTATCATAACGTAGCCTTACTTTGGCAGAAGGCTCGCAGGAACCTAGAGAAGCAAGAGAGACAAAGTCCCTTCTGCTACCCCCTCTATGTTGTTGACCATGTGAAAACGAGTTATGTTGAATAGGGTTAACCTTTATGCTTTGATGCTCTATAATGTTGAAACCAAGACGAAGTGCTCTATTGCAAAGTAGCAAAAACCATCTCTTCTTCCCAAAAAAAAAAAAAAACCTTCTGCACAACTTTAATAAGATATTTTCATCTCGATGGCTCTTGAAACATCCTTCCTTAAAAACCCTTTTTAGAGTGTGTTTGGATTAATGGTGATAGAAGTAATTTTTTTTCAATCTAATTGAGTAAAAGTCAAATAGCGTAATGTGATTTATGTTTGGATTGGCTTTTGAAAAAAATCCGTTTGAGAAACTGAAACTTGTTTGGATGATTAATGAAAAAGTCAATTTAGATGTAAAATAACTAAAAAAGATATTACTTTTATTGAGTAATACTATTTCCTGTCCTTAATATAAAAATTAGTTTGATATTTAACTTGATTCTAAATATAAGACATAATCTATTTATTACAAAAACTAATTTAACTAACTTTTCTAATGTCCCTAAATTAGTCAATTAGCTCTTATATTAATGATAAAAAGTAGTACATATTTAATATTAAATGTATATAATGTAAAAATTATAAAAGAAATATTAAAAACAAAATAATTAAAAATAAAGAAATGAATTTACTATTAGGAAGAAATTGAAAAATATTACTTTTCTACCGCACCGGTGGTTCGCCACTATTAAAAGCAAAGTTTATTAGCTTCTTCCATAAGTCCATTTGACCCTCAAAAGTCAGATTGTAAAAATGTGAAACCAAACACCGCTTTTCTTGAAAAAGCACCATTTGCCATTTGAATCGCCCGTTTTGGTGTCCAAATGTGAATACAAACACACCCTTAGCGTGATTTTGGAAGCATTATGGTTCAAGTAGTTCAAGAAACAAACACGTGGCTTGAAAACTTGCATTTCATTTTTCGGGTTACTAATCATTGATAAATTTCAGATTTTTAGTCTAACTTTAAAAATTCATAACTAATTATAGCAAAATAGTATTAAAGTGGATCAAAATTCTATTTGAAACTCTTCCAATTCTGTACAGAAAAAAAAATATAAATCTAGAATTAATCCTTACCAATTTGCACAGTTAATTAGTACAAATTCACTGTTTATTTGATAAAACTGTACTTTTCAATTTTTCTGCCCTAACTTTAAACATTCATAACTCTTAGTACACATATCCATTTTAAGTGATTAACTGCTTATTTTAAAGTTTATAATGTATACTTTAAGCATGCAAAATTTCATAGGCAGATTCAATTATTTGCCTCATTTCCACTCAGTCACAAACTTCTTAGTGATTTTAACATTTTAGTTAACAAGGCTAATAGAGTCCATTCACCTTCTTAGTTACTGCAATCAGGTCCTTTGGACTCTTATGCAATTACCAAATTTTAAGGAATTTTTTCGCAACATTTTGCCTTTTATGAAACCTTTTTTTTGATTGAAAACAAAATAACAAAAGAAAGATATGTTTAAAAAAAACACCCTGATTCCGTTTTATTTTGCATTATTTGATTTATTTCTAGCCGTGGACTTGCTCTCCGAAGGCTAAAAGATGGCTACAAAGTTTACAAATTTTCTAAAATACATATTTAGTCTTTTAATTTTATAGAAAATTTCAATTTGATCCCTTAACATTAAAAAATATACTTTTAATTATTTAATCATAAAATTTTTAACAAAAAAATGATGATATTAGAATCTTAAATATTGATAAAATATTCTCAAATACTAACATATTAAGTTTAATTTTCTAAGCAACCATAATTATTACCCAAAAAAAATTATTTAAGACTAATGATTTTAGAGTTAAAGTATTAAATGTATGCAAATATGCAATGATACCTATAGACCTGCTATCGACAGATTGAGGTGTACCATGTGATAGCAAATGAAAGGTATATTCTGCTAAATCAATTACATGGGCAGAATTACAGTACAATAATGGATTAATATATAACAGAACCAGTAAATATGCCACTATACACAAGTGCATGCAAAATTGATCAAGGGCAAATATGTTATTGCAGGTGCTTCCACTCCTGAATCGCACTAAGTAATGCATAATTAGGCACCAGGTTGGTGTGTTCAAGTTTCAGGTTTGTCATTGGCGAGGTGTTGTGACCACTATCCAACCATCCTCTTATTGCGTCTTCTTCATATGTAAAGCCATCTGCAGCTATATAAGGATCTTTCATGACCTCCTACAGTATCAAACACAAAGCCAATGAAATATTAGATAGCAATCCAAAAAGTAATCTATAGTTAGCTGCCAGCGAGACAATTATGCTTCAATACATCAGAGTTATGCAGATTCTTAATGTATGGACGCAGCTTTTCTATATGCATATTGATGAGGTTCCCCTTTTACAGTCGCCAGAAAAATGACAGTGTGATCCCTAGGTTACAATACTACTCAGTAATGACTACTTAGAATTCGCCAAAGCTACCACTCGAGTTCTGCATGAGTGCTTTGCTTGATTTGGCAATCTGATACTCCTTTCATTAACTTTGCTTTGGAATTGTCAGTAAATTATGTGTATGAGGGAGTAATTGACATGTCATAACTGCTTACAAACTACCAACACATAAAAGGCATTTGATTAAAACATGAGGAATTTACTTATGAAAGTAATATGTTATAGACTTCGATGATGGCACTTGATTAAAATATAGGGAGAATGACATTAGGCTCCAAAATATCAACTTGATAGCCGTTAGATAACAGAACATTTTGTTGAAAAATAAATAGTAAATATAAATTCAGACATAAATTTATGTCTCAGGTCACTCCCAGTAATTTTCAAGAAAGATTCCTATATTGCAGTTTATTTTTCAGCAAAATCTTTTAGGACTAAGATATCATTCCCCATAACCAACAAGCCATTGGTTGAAATGGTAACCAGTCACACCGTATAAGGAGGAGAACTTAAGCTTGAATCTCGAGAAACGTACTTGTTGAGAGGGCTTTAAACTTAACACTCCCGACTTAATAGATATTAGTCTCAAGCATAAGGTGATTTAAAGATACTCTGAGTTATACGCAAAAAAAAAAAAAAAAATCATTCCCCATAAACTATAGTTTGAGCAGTTTACGATATTCACCTGAAATATGGGGCAGACAAAGTGAGAAGGAGGGCGGTGAAGCTTCTTGGAAGTAGAAAATAGTGACATATTACTGCATGAAGTTCGTAATGGTCCGAGGGCACTCCAGATTTCTGACAAAAGGTCTGGCCGGTTCAGCGGAGTCTTCTCAGAACACCTCAATGCCAAATATGCTAGCTGTTCGACTTGATAAAGTGGCCATTCTCCAGCTGAAGTGTCCAATACCGCTTTGAGATTTTCCTTCTCCAATGCACATTTTGTATCCCTTACTATTCCTGAAAGAGGCCTGCCAGTTAAAAGTTGTAACAATATGATTCCAAATGAATACACATCGGATTCTGGTGTGAGCTTCCCAGTGAGAAGAAATTCTGGATCCACATACACCAAACTTTCATTTCCTTTGTCAACTGTTGTGTTACTGTCAGCTGAATGCCCACTGCGCTGGACTAAAGAAGAAATGCCCAAATCACAAAGTTTGGCAACAAAGTTTACATCAAGGAGAATTTTACTGGGCTTCAAATTCCCATGGATTATAGAAGGCCTGCCGGAGTGAAGGAAGATAAGAGCAGAGCATATATCAGCAGAAATGGAAATTCGAATTTGCCAAGGAAGTGGAGTCTTCTCTTTGCGGGCAAGATGGTCCTCAAGGCTGCCATTATTAAGGTAATCATAGACAAGTGACCTAGATTCTGGGCAGCTTCCAATCAGTGTTACAAGGCTTGGATGTCTTACCCTGCTCAAAACCTCAACCTGAAATTCACCCAATAATACAGACAACGTCAGCAATCCGTTAGTCAGGATTCAGGAGGCAGACTCTGTCACATAAATATTACTTTGGGCAATCTGATAACATTATTTAGGCCCATAGAAACTTCATGTTAGAGTATTGTTGGAGTGATGACAGAATTGAGATAGACAGATTGATACGTGGAAAGAATAAAGCATTCTAGAGAATCAAGTTTATAATTTCAAAAAGGAAAAAACATAAATGAAGCAAATCACAATTCTTCCTTAAAAAATTACATCAAATCAAGATATCAAATCAGTATACAATATAAAATCTATAGTTTGCCTCATTATTTATAAGCCTTCAAGCCTTCATCCATACAATACACAAAATAATGTGTCTGCATGTCTGGGAGAAAAATGTCTCCAATAACTTCTCTCTTCACTTCCTCCCCACTTAATCTCTGCCATTGGATTAACTTTCAATAGTAGAGATTTAAAACTAAGTAAAAATATTATTAGAATATTAAATATAAAAATTTACCATTTTAAAGTACTTATATCAAGTTTTAACGGTATAAATTTATTTATCTACTTTTATTATTTAATATTTAATATTTTAATAATATTCTTATAAAATACATCTCAACTGTTGAAATTTGATCGACTGATGAAAATATTACTCGGAGAGGGAGTGGAGAGAAAAGTTAGTAGAGACATTCCTCTCCTCTTATAACACAGTGAGGTAGGCTGCATGAATCACATAATGTTATCATGCTCTATCAACCACTACTCTAATATATAATTTATGGACGGAGAAAGAGAGAAGAAAAAAAAGGCAAAAGCTATAAGTTGGCTACAATTTTTTAAAGAAAGAGTCAGGCATTGAGTTAAAATAGAATAACTTCAATAACATATCAAATGCAACTCTTTACCAGGAAAACCAGAAATTTTGAGAAGTGCTCCTCATTTTTTGAATAAACACAGAGCAGAATGCAAATAGGATTGGTAACAACAACATTGCTACTCAAATCCGAAAAAAAAAGGTTATTTTTTAGTGGGGTGGGGGAAGCTAAGGTACATAGAATATATGGAAATAATGCAAAATGGGATCAACAATAATAACAAAAAGAATAATGGACATAAAATAAAGGGGCATTAAAAAATGGTCAACATGTTTTGAACAACAGGCAGTAACACCTTAAAAGAGGGAAAAAGTGATCTAAACTGAGTATAACCACAACTGCTACTGACCTTAAAAATAATTTTTACCACCGTATTACCTGTATTCAATTTTTTTCATAACCTTTATCCAATTTATGATTTTCAATTGAAAAAATGAAGCCTCTTCTGCAGGAACTACCATGCACCAAGCAGTAGTAACTACGACAACTCCGATTCATTCATGTGGGATCCCATCAATTTCCAGAACAAAGTACACAGGCAGTGAGCAAATGGCGATTAATCTAACATAATTGGTAGACATACCTTTTGGAGCAAAAGAAATGGAAAACATATCTGATAATGGGCCACAAATCTTGTTGCACAAAATTTTGAGCAATCTTAAAGGAGATACAACTCAAATAAATCATTCCGAAGAGATATGCGCACAATCCCACATAATCAGGAACCCAAAGCCAGAAAATAAGTAACCACCACATAGCAGATCCAATAAGTGATCATGGGACAACAAAACTATCTATCTATGTAAACCAAAAAGCTGCTCATCAAACATTAATCCAAACAAACCAAAGATCGGTAATTAGAATAATCAAAAATAATATCGTTCGATTAACAAGAGGATGCTTTAAAAAGACCATAATAGACATTCAAAATGTAAGGCCTCCTGCTTGATCAATCTAACTATTTTTGTAGGCTTTGCCAATAGCTTGCAAATGAAATCAGGTAAACAATCCAAGATTGAATAAGAAATGCTCAGTGTTTAGAAGAAAAACATTAGAAACTGTTCTCACAACAATGTAAAAGAAACAATTCTTTAATAATAGGAATATTTTGCAAAAGAACGGTGAAAATTACCAAAGTCACACACATAACTTCAACATCTGCTGTAGAAAAAAGGCAGAAGCATGTAAATAACATAATTTAGAGACTCTGTTCGAAATATATTATGGTTCATATTATGATTTTTAAGCTGGTGAATAAATACTAATAAAGACCTGATGTTGAAACTCCAGTTGACTTTGACAGCCATAAGAGGGCAACATCTTTATGGCAACTTGCATATTGCGAAGCATCCCTTTGTAAACACTTCCATGCCTTCCCTCTCCAATCTTCCAAGATGGATCAAAATCATTAGTTGCCTCATTGATCTCTAAGAATGAAAATGTAGGAAATTCTGTTCCATGAGGATATTCAGTATCCATGTTTACAAATTTCCTCAACTTGTTGACTTCCCTGACTGCATTTGAATGCTCAATCTTTAACTTATCTCGTTTGTCCTTAAAGCTTATCAAGAGTTCCACTGCTGAAAAAATTTTCTCCTCCAACTCTGTCACCACAGTCTGGGACTCAACAGCTTGGCCGTTAAGAGCTGAATTTTGATCTTGGATCATTCGCAGTTCGCCCATGATTTCGTCTTGTTGGTCTTTCAGTTTTTGTAATTCTTGCTTTTCTGTAGCCAATAGCTCTTCAAGCTCTCGTCTTCTACTAATCTCATCAGCACACAGTTTTTCTAACGCTTCTTCCTGAATGAGTACGTGTCGAAGCAATGTTATAGAGGAAAATTGAATTGATCTATATGGTATGCTCCAACTAGACATCAATTATAAAACACATTTACATCATGCAATGCATATCTGCTCCAATGTATTAGCAGGCGTTTGCCATACCATGTTAATGACATTTACATCTGATAGCTAGATTCATGCTTTACCCTCATGTCATGAATACCCTAAGAATGGTGAGTGGAATGGTGGTAATACAGCATCACAAGTATAACCTACATTATTTAACAAGTGCTTATGGAAGAGAACTTTTTGCATTAAAAGTTATGCATACAACTAAGTTTGAAGGAGTATATGATTTGGAGATAGGGCCACCAGCAATCCTCCACATTTCCTAAGCTCATAATTACAGTAGTAAAGCTCGGCCAGCATAATGTTGAGTTGAACTACACACACACACACACATAAACTTGAAGTCTTAGCCTATAAAAGGTAAGGAATGGTCCTTGAACTAGTTAACTAGGTGACAGTCTGGGAAAACTTGTTACGTTCTATCATTTTCAGATAAAAATCTAAACAGACTATAAGAAAACATAATGTAAGAAATTGAATTTCATGGTCAAAACACTGAAGTCAAATGTTCAAAGCAAATTTAATAAGTCAAATTATTTCTTTCGCAATCAACCTTGATAGTACTGTTGTCTTCTACATTGCTGCTCACCATTGTCCCTATAAGTTCTTTTGATCTGAAGCTCGTAGTGTCTACGTTACCTAGTTCCAGTCTTCATCTTGTTCTCCTGCGTCATCCTGTACATCTCTTCCCTCCTGGAAAATTCATGAATAGCCCAAAACATAACAAAAGATTTAAAATAAGAAGATGAAAATTTTCAAGACAACAGATCAAGCTATATATTTTTATAATACTTTGGTCAACATTTGAAATCCTTAATTGCACTAGAATTATTGCGCAAGACACATCCTCTATTCCCTATCCGATGTTCTTCCATTACTATTACCACCACCACTACTTTCCTTTTATGATTGCAACTAACATCTCTGCCTTTCTGCTTGTTCTGTGTTTTCCTTGGCCGCTCCCACGTATCTCTTTGTGGAAATATGAGCATTTATCACCCTCTTTTAATGTAAAAAGTCATTGCTTTTGTAGGATCTTGTGGATGTCTTCTATTTTAATGCTTTGATCTTGTGTATCACTTCGTTCCCACCCTATAGCTTGTATGTACCTATTTCATATCAATGAAATACTGAAGTTGCCTCTATTGTACCTGTTTCATATCAAGAAGAGTTTCATGTTCCTACCACTGCATTTGAGATTGGGAAGCTGTCCGTGATTCATATTCAGATAGGGAAAATACATCCCAAGTGTTTGAGATTAAGACAAAGCAATAACAATTGAAACAAGAGAATCGCAGTGCTAATGAGTATTATTTAGAGATGATGGTTTTGTGGCAAAAACATGACCTCAAAAGTGAATAAGACTGTAAACGCCCAGAAGATGTAGTCAAGTTTAGACAGCAAGTTGGAAAGCATTGTTCAAGTTCTCAGAAGGAGAGCTTGATGATGTCAAAGGAAGGATTCTAAGCAAAGAATCCTTGCCCCCTATGAGGCATTTTCAGAAGTTAGAACTTAGAACACAAGGTTCCAGGAGACATATCATGCTGAAGGATGAAGGGTTGAATGCTCCCAAACCCTTCGCTCTGGTTACTTGCACTGTTGACTCAAGCTCCAAAGCTCAGAAGGGAAAGTGAGTGACCACTTCCGGAAGACAAGATGTGCTAAGGACGTACTAAACTACTTGCATAAAATAAACATAAGCTGAATTAACTATCGCACAAATATATGGCAAAAACTACCCCATATCTATCCGCTAAACATGGCTATGGCTAATAATCCATGCAAAGAAAATATTACATGTTCTCATGCTTAACTGCAACATAATGGCACAAACAAACATGCAGCAATTAAAACACAAGTATATGATAGGAAAGAGCTACTACCAAGTGTGCTTTCTTCCAAATTAAATCTTATTGTCCTCATTTTCTAGTGTTTCCTTAGAGGGCTAGGCCAAATATCAAAACCTGTTTGAAAGGGTAGGTTAACACTTATTCCATTTATAGCTTACAATTCACGTAACTTCCCTTAAATCCCAACTTTATTCAAACCCTACCCTTATTAAATGGCTGCTCATCATTTACAAAAATACATTATATTTATAAGTTTACATATTTCAATGGTCAAAGCAATTCTTACTAAAGTTCCAAATTTTAGTTCATTAGCTTAGCTCTTTTGCCTGGTTCTTGTTTCACAACTTCAACTTATTCTAATTGCAATCATATAGTTTGAGCCTTCATTAAAAGCTCTACATATGCCTCATATATTTTATTCGTGATTTAGGCATTCTAAAAACATAAATCAGCAAGTTTCACATCAAATTTCAACTTCAAAAATCTCTCCGTAACTTTCAATCATCACATACTAGCTATTACTTACTTTCAGATAGCTTGATTCACATCCAACAACCCCACAGTTTCCATCAAGAATTCTAACAGCATTTTCTCATCAATTCTAAACTTCCAGCTTTAAGATCAAGTTTTAAATCTTTACTCCAAACTTTCAACGCATAATTCGAGCATATAAAATGACAATTATCCTTTTTCAAAACTTTGAACAGCTTCTATATCTTGTTTTGGAAGTTTCAGTCATGTTTCCCAATTAAAATGTAGCAATACTCATCCTCCTACCATACCAAACTATCATCTTTCATAATCACTTATAATCTAAACCCTCAACCATTGTGGTTAGAATCCCACGATTCACGATTCAAATCTTGCAATTGGAGACAAAATAGACAATAAAAGATACGAATCTCTCATTGTATCTTTTTGTGGCCTAAATCATGCGATTCACACCAGAATCATACGATTCAGGCATTGCTGGTTCATGCTGGATCTGACTCAACACGTTAAAAAAAACCTTTTTCATGTTTATTTTTTCTGATTTTTGTTGTTATTTATAGGAGACAATCTGTCATATAAATACTCTCTAATGCACTTGTCACTTTTAGCTTATCAAATATCAATCAAAACCCTAATTATTTTTATTCCCTAATTGATTTTGGGGACTATTTGTCATTGAAATTTGATATATATTAGCTTTTTTAATTTTTTGTGAGGTGTAGAATATCTACAAACTTTTGATGTTCTTTTCTATAAAATTACTTATATGTCACCTTTAATAATTGTTCATGAATCTTACGAAAGTTTCCTTCCGAGATTCAAAAAATAGGTTTTTTGATTCACAATTCATATCCCGATTTGATAATCTTGCCCTCAACAACAAATTTTGGTCAATTTGCACTACTTATTTTGTTAGCGCCGATATGGGCCTTGGCCCAAATTAACCTAATTAGGTTTAGGTTTTATTTACTTAAGAGAATAGGTAGGGAGACAGCGGTAATTAAGTTCCCTGATTCTAGGAGATTTTATTTTCTATTTTTCATTGATTCTATATCTTTGATATGATTTAGTCCGTAGGGGCAAATGCCTATATATGTACACCACAGTTTTCTATATGAAATAAGAGAATTAAGCATCACATTGCACATGGTATCAGATACCATGATCCGGTTTGGATTCGGACTGGACAGTGATGGCCAGGGTAGTGTGAACTCCTCGGCATTGAATACCTCTGCAACATCGAGTGATCAGAGTCCAAGCTACCAAGCACCGATCGATGCTACCACCTCATCAATCACCATTCACCGGCTGAATGGTCAGAATTATCTCTAATGGGCCGCAAGCGTTCGTCTGTTCGTGACTGGAAGAGGAAAGCTGGTTATCTCACTGGCATCGAGAAACGACCTTCTTCCTCTGACCCAAAGCTTGCAAAGTAGGAAGCAGAGGATTCAATGGTCCAGTTGTGGCTTGTAAACTCAATGACCACTGACATAAGTGCAAGTATTTCGCTTTTCAAATCTGCACAGGAAGTTTGGGAGGCCGCAAGAGACATGTTTGCCTCTCTCAACAATCGTGCAGCAATCATGGAGATTGAAGCAGCCTTGGACAAACTTAAACAAGGCACTTTAACCGTTACAAAATTCTGGACAAATCTAGTATTATTGTGGCAACAACTGGATATGTATGACACCTATGAATGGACTTGTCCTACTGATGCCCAGCTCTATGCTAAAATCAAGGAGGAGAAAAGAATCTACAAGTTCTTGCTAAGTTTGAATCCAGTGTTTGATGAGATTAGGGGACGTATCATGAGCTTTGAAAAGCTCCCTTCTCTACATGAAGTCATGGTGAAGCAAGAAGAAAGCAGGAGGAAACTTACAGTCTCTGTACAGCCACAGCAACTTGAACCAAATTCGAGTGCTATGTACACCAAGGGTGGCCAGTCAAATGATGGAAAAGGGCGGAAAAATAATAGATGGTGTGATCACTGTCAAAATCAGGACACACCAAAGAAGTATGTTGGAAAGAAACCATCAAATAGAGGTAAAAGCAGAGGAGACTCACAGGCTAACACAGCTAAAATTGACTCTGAACACTGATAAACTCAGCATTGATGAGGTTGAATGTCTCCGGAAAATCCTAGAAAAATATGAGACTAAAGAACAACTAGTTGCCTCTGGTAATGTAGCCTACATAGGTAATGTCATCCTTGCCCTAAAAACTAATGTTCACCATGAGAATATGTGGATAGTTGACTCTAGCGCTACATATCATATGACTAGTAATCCAAACCTGATTCAAAATTTAAAACCATGCACATTCCCAATGTTCATAAAGGTAGCAGATGGAAAATTTTTAAAGGTTAAGCCTAATTCTCAAAACAATCCTCTATGCACCAGATTTAAAAAATGCAGTTTGATATCTGTGGGCAAAGCTACCATATTTCAACACTGTCATGTTGATTTTTTTGCTACTCAATGTTTGTTTTAGGACTTAGAGTCGAGGAAGATGATTGGCAAAGCTAAGATGCTAGAGGGATTGTACTGCGTGGATGTTCAACAACCATGGCGCCGACCAAGTGTTTCTAGTTTTACTGCTGAAAAATCTCTATCTTCTACATTTACTTATAAAGAAATGTTATTGTGGCACTATAGGTTAGGTCATCCTAGCCCAAAATATATGTCTAGATTGTTGCCCGAATCCTTGAATAAAAATTTTTCCTCTATTTCCTGTGAAGTTTGCCAATTGTCTAAGCACACTAAAGGTGTCTACACATCTCACCCTCATCAATTTTCTCAACCATTTTCTCTCATTCACAGTGACATTTGGGGCCCCACTCGAACTACCTCTCTAACACATGCCAAATGGTTTGTCACGTTCATAGATGATTACACACGTTTAACTTGGGTGTTTCTAATGAAAGATAACTATGAGTTGCCTGAAAAATTAATCAATTTTCACAAACTGATCTCTAATCAGTTCCATACCTCTATTAAAATCCTACGAAGTGATAACGAGAGAGAGTACATGGGAACACATCTACAAACACACCTTAAACAATATGGGATTGTTCACCAAACAAGCTGTGTAAATTCTCCACAACAAAATGGCACAGCTAAAAGGAAAAACCATTATCTTCTTGAGGTAACCAGATCTATCATGTTGACCCATAGTGTCTCGAAATAGTACTGGGGGAAGCACTACTCACTGCTGCACATCTAATCAATCGCCTTCCTTCCAAAACACTAAACTTTAACACTCCTCTTCAAGTCCTAGCAAAAACCCATCCCAATTCCTACCTTCACACTCATATCCCACCTAAAATTCTTGGGTGCGTTGCTTATGTTCACAATGATAATGGTGGTAAACTAGACCCTAGAACCTTTAAGTGCATCTTCCTTGGGTACTCATCCACCCAAAAGAGTTACAAGTGTTATTTTCCTCCCTCAAAGAAATACTTTGTGACCATGAATGTAACTTTCGATGAAAACCAAAGCTATTATCCCAACACACCCATTCAGGGGGAGAGCAGTGAGGAATGGGAGTTTCTTCAGCCTAAAGATCCTATATCAACTATCCCTGCCTTATCACCAACAATAACGACCCCATCATCTCAACCAACACCACCAGAACTTCATGGAAACTTAGATTCAGATCTGGACAGCAGGCAAATGACATAGAAACAGGCAATACAGATGAAGATCGTGGTGATTTGGGCATGAACAATGCAGAAACTAATGTTCCCTATGAGCAGCCCACTCAGGACAGCAGAACCGATGCAACTCAAGATTCCTCTAGCATCAAGCACCACCAAAACTCAACCCCTACTTCAGGTTCAAATGACCCTGGGTGGCCAATTGCCTTAAGAAAAAGGGTAAGGGCTTGTGCTCGACATCCCATCAGCAATTTTGTTACTTATGATCAATTATCTTCTCCCATGCGCTGTCTTGTTACTAATTTGGCAGATGAGAAGTTACCTACTAGCTTCCAAGAAGCAATTCTAGATCCCAAATGGAAGGAGGCTATTGGAGATGAACTGAGGGCTTTAGAGAAAAATCAAACTTGGAAGATCACACAACTACCCAACAACAAGAAGCTCGTAGGCTGTAAGTGGGTGTTCACAAAGAAGTATAATCCAGATGGGTCTATTAACAAATACAAAGCCCGGCTTGTTGCTAAAGGGTATTCACAGACCTACGGCATTGATTATCAGGGAACTTTTGCACCGTTGGCTAAACTCGACACAATTAGAGTCTTATTGTCACTAGTGGCTAATCTTGACTAGCCCTTGCATAAACTAGACGTAAAAAATGCCTTTCTTAATGGCGATTTGAAAGAAGAGGTATTTATGAACGTTCCCCAAGGATTAGCAGAGTGCAATCTGCCAGGTATGGCCTGCAAACTATACAAGTCCCTCTATGGTCTAAAACAGTCTCCTCGAGCCTGGTTTGAGAGATTTACAGCTGTTGTAAGGAAATTAGGGTATAACCAATGTCAATCAGATCATACCCTGTTTGTTAGGCATTCTGGTAGAAAGAAGGCAATCCTTATCATGTATGTAGACGATATCATTTTAACTGGTGATCATGTATGTGAGATAAGCAGGTTAAAGAAATCCTTAGAGAAGGAGTTTGAAGTAAAAAACCTTGGAGGTCTAAGATATTTCCTTGGAATGGAAATTGCTAGATCCAAGGAAGGAATAGTTGTCTCTCAACGGAAATATACAATTGACTTGTTGAAGGAAACTGGTACGTTGGGTGCTAAACCAGCAAACACACCAATGGAGCTAGTATGTAAGTTAGATAATAAGGAAGAAGAAGAAACGAACCCAAAAGAAGGGAAAGAAAATTCAGAAAAGAAACCTAAGAAAGGACCTGTGCCGGTTGATGCAGAGAGATATGAGAAGCTGGTGGGAAAGCTACTCTATCTATCTCATACGCGCCCAGACATATGCTATGTTGTTCGAGTGGTGAGTCGCTTCTTAAATGAGCCTCTAGAAGAACATATAGAGGCTGTTTACAGGATCCTACATTACCTAAAAATGACACCAGGAAGAGGCCTCTACTTTGCCAAAGGGGGCTCTAGAGAAGTAGAAGTATATACTGATGCAGACTATGGAGGTTTTCTACCTGATAGAAGATCAACTTTAGGCTACTACACTATGGTCTGGGGAAATCTTGTAACTTGGAGAAGCAAGAAACAATCAATGGTAGCTAGGAGTAGTGTTGAGTCAAAGCTTCGTGCACTAGCTCATGGAGCATGCGAAGGACTATGGCTACTTAGAGTTTTGAAAGAACTACAACTTGAACCTAGTAGTCCAATCAGGCTAAGATGCGATAGTATGTCAGCTATTGGCATGGTTAAAAATCCTATTCATCACGAAAGGACAAAACATCAGACATAGACAAGCACTTCATTAAGGAAAAGATGGATGCAAGAATAACTGATCTATCTCATGTTTCATCACACAAACAAATAGCATATTTCTTTACCAAAGCATTACCAAGGCCCCAGTTTGATGAGCTCAGAAGCAAGCTGGGCATGAAGGATATTTACTCACTAGCTTGAGGAGGAGTGTTAGCGCCGATATGAGTCTTGGCCCAAATAACCTAATTAGGTTTAGGTTTTATTTACTTAAGAGAATAGGTAGAGAGATGGCGGTAATTAAGTTCCCTGATTCTAGGAGATTTTATTTTCTATTTTTCATTGATTATGTATCTTAGATATGATTCGGTCAGTAGGGGCAAATGCCTATATATGTACATCACAGTTTTCCGTATGAAATAAGCATCACATTGCACATATTTCCTTGGAGTTTGAATATTAAATTTCCTTTCTTTTATTAAAAAAAAAGATGATTTAGCACCATGAGACGTCAAACTTTTCTCCTTAAATTTAGAGCTTCACATTTCCAGAGAATTTCCAGCAGCTAATATACAATTTAATCATCATGATAGAGTGTTTGGGCGTTCCACTTTATAATTTCTCAAATCCTATCTTCAAGGATGAGACTTAAACCTTTATTTTGACACAACTAAACATGATTTACCTATTCACAATAATGATTCAGCATTTGGAAATATTAATCAGTAACTTCCTAAATCAATTTCCAGCTCCAAGCTTCCAAATCTGCACACCACCATACTCACTTGTTTGAACATATTACATTATAGACATTAGGCACCTTCTAGCTTTTCACTATGGGTCGCATGACTCAACATTGAAATCTAATAAGTTCCAGCTTCATAACATTAAGTAAATAATCGTTTAAATGTCTTTCGCTAAGGTTTATATAACTAAGACGCTTATTTATTCAAAATGGCATCAAATAGAGAAACACCACGATTATAAAACCAATCCTGCTTCCAAAACTGAGCAATAACAGCAGCAATACATCCCTTTAGCTTGGATTTACCTATATTTATCATATCTAAATATCATCCCCAGCGGATAAAACAATTGATTGCAGCAGGGAATAACGTAGACCCCTGTTTCGGCACCCCACAAATCAACATGCAACCAGAAAGTATATACATGTACATTCGCCACTTCAATTCCACAGAACCCGACGCCAACCCCTGAACCATTTAACCCAGTTTCGTCGGTCATGAACCAGAGAAGATCAAGCATATGCAACAGCAGATAATACACCTAAATGCTTCACTCTACAGCTACCCATTCTAATCTCACCAAATCATCATCTTTTTTCCTCCCAACCTAAACAGATTCAGTCATTATTTCCACCCCCTAAACCGCAACCATCGAAGGGAATGAAGATGGAAGGAGGTTCAGGAGGTTTACCTTGACTTATTAACCGGTTTGAATTTTAGGATCCTACCTCTCCTCCTCTCCTCCCCCAGCGTCGACTTGCTCTGGTTCTTCTCTTCCTCGGCTCTCACGGCTCTGTCTGGCCTACTGCTTGGGCAGAATGGAAATGAGAAGCAAATTTGATCCCATCAACGAGGCGGAGAGCACGTGTGATCCGTGTGAGGAGATTTTCTGGACCAATTTGCCCCTCAACTATTCTTTGCTTGGAATTTCACCCCTTGCCGGTTGTTCTGAAACACCAAGGCAGAGGTGTTCACGTTGACCCATCTCG